CTTTTTTCGTGACCGGCAACGGATCGCAACCCTCAGTGTCGCGCCCGTACCGGACCGGGACCGGCAACGGGATCGCAACCCTCGGTGTTGCCCCCGCTCCTTGCTCAGCCAGTGAGCGGGAACTGGTCTGTATGTGGGATCCGAACCCTCGGCGGGAGCGCCGCCGCGCTTCCCAAGCGGTGCACTGTAGCAGTGCGCCACCGGGCCGGCCCCCACATATAAGTTTTTGTGTGAGAATAAGTTTTCATTTTTCTGGATTAAATGCCCAGGAGTGCAATGGTTGGGTTGTATGGTAGTTGTGTGTTTAGTTTTGTAAGAAACTAAACACAGGCTGTTTTCCATAGTGGTTGTTCCATTTTACATTCCCACCAGCAATGGATTCAATGTTGTTTAGTGTTATTTATCTGCTACTAAAAATAATCTATGTCCCACACTTTGGAAACACTGGAGCATAAGATAGATCAGAGTTTCTCAACCTTGGCAGCACTGGCATTTTGGGTCAGATAATTCTTTGTTGTAGGAGGGGTGTCTTGTGCATTATAAGATGTTTAGCAGCATGCCTGGCCTCTACCCACGAGATGCCAGTAGCCCCTCCCGATGTCCTAAGTTGTGACAATCAAAAATGTCTATAGCCATGCCAAGTGTTCACCAGGGGGCAAAATTGCCCTCAGTTCAAGACCAGTGGAGTAGATGGAGGGTAATAGTGGGAGGTAAGTTTGAAAAGATAAGTCGGAGCCAGATTATGGAAGGCTGTTTTGAATGCTGTGCTCAGAGGATTGGCCATGGAAGGCTTCTTAGTTGGGTAGTGATGTGAAGAGAGTTCTATAGGAATAAGATTCTGTCAATAGGATTGAGGGTGGAATGAAACAGAAGAAAGTTTGGAGGCCTAGAGATTCTTAGGATTTGGTGGTACAGGCAAAGTTAAGAAGACCTGAGTGAAAATAGTGGTAATGGAGAAAGGAAGCATCCTGGTCAGGATGAAGAATGTCAGATGGGGAATTTTCTTGGGAGTAGAATCTGGCTAAGGCCTCAGTCATTAGCAAAATTGATTGGTGCGAACTGCATTTTTTTGATTTACATTCCGTTGGAGCCTCAGAAACATGGTTCTATAAGAGAAAATAAGGAAGCAAAAGTCAGGAATAGTTTGTAACTATTCATCAATCTATGAATAATTGAACATTATATACTACTGATAATGTTAGAAATGTCTTAGGTATTTATTTTGATAACGTTTCACTCCTCCACATGTCTGATTTAATTCAGTCTTACTAATATTGATGGGGAAAGCCAGGCACAGAAGGCAGGGTAAATTGGCAGAAATTGCTCAGGAGAATTTGGAGTATAATCTGGCTTTCTCTCTATATATATTTCTCTGTAGCACTGTGCCTTTTAAACTGTAATATTTAATTACTATCTGTTAACACATTTCGTGTGGATATATTAGCTGCATATTAATTATGTATACGAAGTCTTATTTAAGTATCCAGAATTTTAGAAAACTCTCAGTTCTGTGAAGTAAACTTTTCATTGCTGATAGAATTATGAATTGGTGCAATGCTTTTGGAAAAAAGTGTGACAATACAAGAAGTTGAAAGATGTTTGTATTTAGTTCTAGACGTTTATTCTAGAGAAATCAACAGAAACAGTTACATATACAGAGATATTCATTGTAGTGTTTAATAGAGTTTGGAAATAAACGTACAGCATCTACAAGAGGAAATATCATGTACACATTAAAAAATATATTTGGGGCCGGCTAGGTGGCGCACTGGAGAGTGCGCCGCTTGGGAGCGCGGCGGTGCTCCCTCTGAGGGTTCGGATCCCATGTGGAGACCGGTTCCCGCTCACTGGCTGAGCGTGGTGCGGGCCTAACACCGAGGGTTGTGATCCCGTTACCGGTTAGTAAAAAAGACAAAAAGGAAAAAAAAAATATATATATATATATTTGGAAATATGCAGAACTGGTTATTCTTTTGAATGAGAATAGCTGTATGTAAACCGGTTAGTAAAAAAGACAAAAAGGGAAAAAAAAAAAAATATATATATTTGGAAATATGCAGAACTGGTTATTCTTTTGAATGAGAATAGCTGTATGTAATATAAGTATATGAAGTTCAACCTTGTGAAACTTAAAATTGTTGGATAGTAAGATGATGGGAGTTTTAAGTTACTTGAATTTTTTTTTTTTTTAAAATGACCGGTAAGGGGATCTTAAGCCTTGACTTGGTGTTGTCAGTACCACGCTCTCCCAAGTGAGCTAACTGGCCGTCCCTGTATAGGGATCTGAACCCATGGCCTTGGTGTTACCAGCACCGCACTCTCCCAAGTGAGTTATGGGCTGGCCCTAAGTTATTTTAATTTTTTAACATTCATATTTTAAAAATTTAAATCTATACTAGCTCTGAAGATGAAGTGGATGTGCTCTTACATGGAACTCCAGACCAAAAACGAAAACTCATCAGAGAATGTCTTACTGGAGAAAGTGAATCATCTAGTGAAGATGAATTTGAAAAAGAAATGGAAGCTGAATTAAATTCCACCATAAAAACAATGAAGGATAACTTATCCTCACTGGGAACAGGTAAACTTTTGGTTCAATTTTTATAAGCTTCATAAGGACAGGATGCTTATTTGTGTTCTTTTATGTCCCCAGGACAGTAGGTGCTTGATAAATATTTATTGAGTGAAGGAATAAATGTTTGGCAACCTCAGCCAGAGTTTGCTTTGATGACTATGAAACAACGTCCTGTGTTGTTGGAAAGAGACTATTTAATACTATATTAATACTATTTAATAGTAGATACTATTTACTTGCATAATTTCCTTTTGTAGTTTTACTCCAGGATTAAAAAAAAGACACATGCTTATAGAAGTATTTTTAGGGTTGCATGGTACTGGGATGGCAGACCTAATGATATGTCATTACAAATTCCTGTCTCATTTTGATACTTGGTCTTTTTTTTTGTTGAAATATATTATTTATAGATATTTATGGGTTACAGTCATATTTCAATACATGTATACAATGTGTGATGATCAAATCAGGGTAGTTAGCATATTCATCATTGCAGAACTTAATCATTTTTTTATGAGGTGAACACTTGATCTCCTCTCGTCTAGCCTTTTGATAACAGGCAGTAAATTATTGTTAATTATAGATGCCTAGCTTGAATAGTTGGTCTTTATTTAAAATGTACCGGACCTGAAACTGGTTTGTGAAAGTAGGACTCCTCAGCATTGGTTTCCATGTTGATATGCTGTGCCTTAACTGTGAAGAACTGAAAGCATATAATAATAAAAATAGTACTATTACTACTACTACTACTACTAGCACTAAAACTAAAGCAGATGTTAAGAGGAAGAATTAGGTCTCAGGCATGTGATAAAGTATAGGTTATGTCATGGTACTGGGCACAACTGGGTATAGGAAGCATGTGTCCTTGACTCATTCCCCTGCCTTTCTGTAGAGTTCTTATCCTCTTTTCCTCTAAAGTCCCTTAAAACAAGATGTTTATTCCCTGTTCTGCACAATATACTGCAAGACTGAAAGATAGACATATGTATGCTGGCAACCTGAAAATATGGCTTTTCTATTTAATTAGATTTGTGGGAGGGGAGAGAATAATTTTCTCATGATTTGGAATACTAATCAAGGAAGGTCAGTTCTCTGTAATTGCATGTGCATAGAAATTAAGTCATTGATGTAAAAATATTTTACCATCCAGATGAGATTGTGAATGAGTTGATACTGCTTTGAGGGGATGGAAGAATATATGGAGTGTTTTTTCTTGTGAATTATGTATGGTTTAGACCGTAAACGTTACTTCTGATTTGAATAGGGTCTTCCTCAGGAAATGGGAAAGTTGGAACAGCTCCAACAAAGTACTATGATGATATATATTTTGATTCTGATTCTGAGGATGAAGACAAAGCAGGTAAGTGACATATTTACCAAGTTTAGCAGTCATAGTTTATGAAAAAGGTTTACCTAACAATTTGCTTTTTTTGGTGGCTGCCCGGTACGGGGATCTGAGCCCATGACCTCGGTGTTATAAGGCTGTGCTCTAACCAATTGAGCTAACTGGTCAGCCCCATAACGATTATTTGATATTAGGATTTCCCTTTGAGTTTTATTTTTAGGAAATTGCAGGCCGTTGATGTGAAAGCAAAAGCAGGATTGTTTAATAAGAAAAACTGGGGATGAAGATATGGCACCAACTGTGGTGCTGCATGGGGCATACCTGGGGAGAGGGAGAGTGTGTCCCAGTGAGATACTTCTCCTCCTCAGGGCTTTTGGCCCCCTTCTCCTTTTAGATTCATAAGAGCAATATTTGTTTTCCCATCTGCAAATAATTTCTATATTTTTACTCTCCTGCAGAATTTTTCCTAACTTGTTGGAAATAACTAATTTAATTATATCAGGAATTACACTGAAATACACAAATAACAAATTTATGTGGTAAAGAACAATTTTATATTTCTATGTATTATTACTTACATATGACCTGCTAGAGTACATTTAAAAAGTCTAGTGTATGTGGATGACCAATTTTTTGTCATACCTTCTTAAAAATTTTTTTTCTGATTTCAGTAGCATTTTATGTGTGGGAACTTGTGGAGAGTTTATACATTAAAATGGTTTCTGGGATGGCTGGTTAGCTCAGCTGGTTAGAATGTGGTACTGATAACACTAGTGTTTGACCCTATACCAGCCAGCTGCCTCCTGCCCTCCCCCCCCCAAAAAAAAAAAACCCCAAAAACCAACCACAAAAGAAAAATAGTTTCTATTCTTGGTTTGTTTTCAGTGGACTCTTTGAGACTCTGAATTCTCATTCTTTGAACCCAGTCCTTGAGATACCAAGTTTTGGTGAAGAAACAGTTTTTGCCTTTTCTGTCATCTTTGTTTTAGTGCCTTGTTTTAACCTCTTTTTTTTTTTTTTTTTGGTGGCTGGCCAGTATGGGGATCCAGCCCTGTGATCTTCATGTTATAAGGCTGCACTCTAACCAACTGAGCTAACTGGCCAGGCTTTAGTGCCCGGTGAATTGGACAAGAACTTTATTTGCAAGAATGGCTTTTATAAGCTTTTTAGGAAAATATAAATAGAATAAATATGTAGCTTCGGAAATGGGATTCTTCATTCTATATTAAAGATTTCTGAACTTAAGACATGATACTTACTTATATCCTTAACATTTTCAAAATTAGCACTGGTGACCAAGAAAAAAAAGAACAAACGACACAGGATTCTGACAAATGATGAATTACTATATGATCCTGAAAAAGATAACAGAGATCAGGCCTGGGTTGATGCACAGAGAATGGGGTAAGAACTTAAATTTAACATTTAGAATCTTTAGGAAAAAATGATTTAAAGATGATTTTCACCACATTCACATTTTGAATGTATGTGTATATGTATATACACACACACAAAGAACTTTGAGAAAAAAACTGCTGAATAGTTTATTTTGAAAATAACCAGCAAATTTCAGACAATTGATTTTTAAAAACTTGTTGAATCAAACTACTCTAGTCAGTTTCTCTATTCTAGAAACAAAACTGACTTTTTTCAAACAGACACAATTTTAAATTACTTTGAAATGAAGAGTTTATGTGGATGAAGAGTGGATGTTATGTTTAAGCACCTGAATTATTCTTTTAACTATTTACAAATTTGATTTTTAAAAATTGAGGTGAAATTCACATAACATAAAATTAATCTTTTTTTTTTTTTTTTTTTTTTTTGGTGGCTGGCCAGTATGGAGATCTGAACCCTTGACCTTGGTGTTATAACACTGTGTTGTAACCAATTGAACTAACTGGCCAGCCCTAAAGTTAACCATTTTAAAGTGAACAATTCAGTGGTATTTCATACCATCACAGTGTAGGGAAGCCACCACCTCTATCTAGTTTCAAATCGTTTTCATCATTCCAAGAGGAAACCCTTGTACCATCAAGTAGTTTCCCTTCCCCCACCCTGCCCCCCCAACCTGGTAATCACTGGATCTGTGTTCTATCTCTATAGACTTAACATATTCTGGATATTTCATGTAAACAGGATATACAACATGTGACCTTTTATATCTGGCTTCTTTCACTGAGCATAATGTTTTTGAGGTTCATCTATGTTGTAGCATGTATTAGTACTTCTTTCATTTTTATGACTGAATGATGTGTAATTGTATGTTTATAACACAATTTGTTTATCCACTCATCCATTGAGGGAAATTTGGGTTGTTTCCACTTTTGACTGCTGTGAATAGTGTTGCTGTGAACATCTGTTTCAGTCCCTGCTTTCATTTATTTTGGGTCTATACCTAGGAGTGGAATTGCTGGATCATATGCTAATTCTATATTTAACTTTTTTTTTTTTCCTTTTTGTCTTTTTTACTGACTGGTAACGGGATCGCAACCCTCGGTGTCGCGCCCGTACCGGGGACCGGAAACGGGATCGCAACCCTCGGTGTTGCGCCCGCACCGCGCTCAGCCAGTGAGCGGGAACCAGTCTCCACATAGGATCCGTGTTTTTGAGGTTCATCTATGTTGTAGCATGTATTAGTACTTCTTTCATTTTTATGACTGAATGATGTGTAATTGTATGTTTATAACACAATTTGTTTATCCACTCATCCATTGAGGGAAATTTGGGTTGTTTCCACTTTTGACTACTGTGAATAGTGTTGCTGTGAACATCTGTTTCAGTCCCTGCTTTCATTTATTTTGGGTCTATACCTAGGAGTGGAATTGCTGGATCATATGCTAATTCTATATTTAACTTTTTTTTTTTTTCCTTTTTGTCTTTTTTACTGACCGGTAACGGGATCGCAACCCTCGGTGTCGCGCCCGCACTGCGCTCAGCCAGTGAGCGGGAACCGGTCTCCACATGGGATCCGAACCCTCGGCGGGAGCGCCACCGCCCTCCCAACCGGCGCACTTCTCCAGTGCACCACCGGGCCGGCCCTCTATATTTAACTTTTTAAGGAATCACTGAACTATTTTCCACAGTGGTTGTGAACTAGCAATATACGACAGTTTCTGATTTTGATATAAGGTTGATTAAAACTGAAAGCTAGGCAACTTATCACCATTACCCAGTGCTTCCCCAACTTGGCTGTGCTTCACAATCACCTGGGGAGATTGAAATGCAGACCCTTGAGCCCTACACTAGGAGGTTTTGATCAGCTGAGGCGGGGTCCAGGAATCTGTATTTTTCAATTCTGGAGAGATTGATGTTGGTGTGGGGGTCTTTGCACACCACCTTTTAGCTTCTACTCTCCCACTTTGTCTTTTTCCCTCACCCTGTTTCACCCATGCACTGTCTTCAACTGCTCCTTGTGTTTATTTAATAAATATTTTTTGATTACCCACAGTGTGAAATTAACATTTTAGGTGCTATGAGTGATATTGAGATGGTCAAGGAGCTTACAGTCTACCTCCTGATTCTGGTAAAAAAATTTGTCAGTGAAGTAAGATAGAATGTATTTTTGTTATTATATAATCTTGAGAAGAAATAACGTTTTTTTGACTTGTAATTTACATTCCTGCATCAAACAGCCTTTTAAGACCACAGAAACCAATTTCAAATAATGAATTCACTACATTTCAGGTACCACAATTTTTGTTATTTGGGTCTTCTTTCTCTTTTTTTAGTTAGTCTAGCTAATGGTTTGTCTTGTTTATCTTCTCAAAAAGTCAACTTTTTTGGGGGGGTGATCTTTTGTATTTTTTTTGGTCTCTATTTCATATAGTTCTGCTCTCATCTTGATTGTTTCTTTCCATCTAATTTTGGGATTGGATTGTTCTTGTATTTCTAATTCTTTGAGGTGTAACATTAGGTTGTTTATTTGAAGTATTTCTATTGTTTTGAGGTAAGCATTTATTGCAATAAAACTTTCCTGTTAGAGGCCGGCCCGTGGCTCACTCGGTAGAGTGCAGTGCTCATAACACCAAGGCCACGGGTTCGGATCCTATATAGGGATGGCCGGTTTGCTCACTAGCTGAGCGTGGTGCTGACAACACCAAGCCAAGGGTTGAGATCCCCTTACCAGTCATCTTTTAAAACAAACAAACAAACAAACAAACAAACACAAAAAAACTTTCCTGTTAGTACTGCTATTGCAGTATCCCATAGGTTTTGGTGTGTTGTGTCTGTATTTTCATTAGTTTCAAGAAAAATTTTTTTTTTTTTTTTTTAAAGATGACCGGTAAGGGGATATTAACCCTTGACTTGGTGTTGTCAGCACCATGCTCAGCCAGTGATTTTTTTTTAAAGATGACCGGTAAGGGGAGATTAACCCTTGACTTGGTGTTGTCAGCACCATGCTCAGCCAGTGAGCGAACCGGCCATCCCTATATGGGATCCGAACCCGGGGCCTTGGTGTTATCAGCACCACACTCTCCCGAGTGAGCCACGGGCCGGCCCTCAAGAAATTTTTTGATGTCCTGTTTAATTTCTTAATTGACCCATTGGTCTTTCAGAAGCATTTTATTTAATTTCCATGTATTTGTATGGCTTCCAAAGTCTCGCTTGTTATTGATTTCTAGTTTTAATCCGTTGTGGTCTGAAAAGATACTTGAAATTATTTCAGTTTTTAAAAATTTGTTGAGACTTGATTTGTGACTTATCATGTAGTTTATCCTGGAGAATGTTCCATGTGCTGATGAGAAGAAAGTATATTCTGTAGTTGTTGGATGAAATTTTCTGTAGATGTCTGCCAAATCCAACTGGTCTAAAGTGTAGTTTCAATCCTGTGTTTCTCTGTTGATTTGCTGCCTACATGATCTGTTCAGTGTTGAGAGGGTTGTGAGGTCCCCAACTATTGTATTAGGTCTATCTCTCTCTTTAGGTCTAATAGTGTTTGTTTTATATATCTGGGTGATCCAATGTTGGGTGTATATACATTTATGAATGTTATATCCTCTTGCTAGATAGATCCCTTTATCATAATTTAATGACCATCTTTGTCTCTTTTTATAGTTTTTGGCTTATAATCTATTTTATCTGATATAAGAATAGCTGATCTGTCTCGTTTTTGGTTTCCATTTGTGTGGTACATCTTTTCCAACCCATCACTGTTAGTCTGTGTGAGTTTTTACAGGTGAGGTGAGTTTCTTGTAGGCAGCATATAGTTGGGCCTAGTTTTTTAATCTATTCAGAGTTTGTCTTTTGAGTGGGGAATTCAATTCATTTACATTTAGAGTTGTTATTGAAAGGTACTGTCTTCTGGCATTATATTGATTCTCATATGGTTCTTTTAAATATCTTTTGTTCCTTTCTTTTCCTTTTATAGTTTGTCTTCAGTGGTTGTTGGTTTTTTGAGGTGGTGAGATATAGTTTCTTTTTCTTCCTTGGTTACCTATCTGCTCTACCAGTGTGTATTAGTTAGTCCTTTCCTGTTGCTTATAACAAAGTACGTGAAACTGGGTAATTTATAAAGAAGACGAAATTTATTGCTTACAGTTTCTGAGGCTGGGAAGTCTGAAATCCAGGGAACATGTCTGATGAGAGCCTTGCTGGTGGCTACAGTGATGGCAGAGTATCACATTGAGAAAATCTCCTCATTTACCCTCCTTTTAAAGCCCCCCAAACCATGCCCATGACCACCCTTTTCAGTCCATTCACTACTGTATGGCCCTGCAATCTAATCACCTCTTCAAGGCCCCACCTTTCAATTACCATAATAGGATTTCCCACCCTCAACAGTTACAGTGGGGATTAAGCCCTCAGTGAGGTTGGGGGTGCATCTAATCTACAGTACAGTGGGTTTTGTTCTTTTTTGTGCATTCATGGTGGTGATTATCAGTTTTTTTTAACTCCAGATGCAGGACTCCTTTGAGGATTTCTTGTAGGGCTGGTTGTGTGGTGGTGAACTCCTGCAGTTTTTGTTTGTCTGGGAAATGTACTATTTCTCCTTCATTTCTGAAGGATAGCCTTGCTGGTGTAGTTTTTTTGCTGGCAGTTTTTTTCTTCTAGTACTTTGAATATATCATCCTATTCTCTTCTGGCCTGTAAAATTTTTGTTGAGAAATCTGCTGTTAGTCTGATGGTGGCTTCATTATAGGTGACTTGATGCTTTTGTCTTGCTGTTTTTAGGTTTCTCTCTTTATCTCTGACTTTTGCCAGTTCAACTACAGTGTGTCTCAGAGAGAACCTTTTTGGATTGGATCTGTTTGGGGATCTTAGAGCCTCTTAGATCTGAAATTCTGTCTCTATTCCAATACCTGGGAAGTTTTCTGCTATTATTTCATTGAACAGGTTTTCAGTGCCTTTCCTTTGTTCTCCCCTTCTGGAATACCCATGATTTGGATGTTTGTGTGCTTAAGGTTGTCTGATAGCTCTTGTAGATTTTTTTCATTTTTTTTTTCCTTTTTGTCTTTTTTACTGACCGGTAATGGGATCGCAACCCTCGGTGTTGCACCCGCACCGCGCTCAGCCAGTGAGCTGGAACCAGTCTCCACATGGGATCCGAATCCTCGGCGGGAGCGCTGCCGCGCTCCCAAGCGGTGCACTCTCCAGTGCGCCACTGGGCCGGCCCGAGATTTTTTTCATTTTTAAAAATCCTTTTTTTTTGGATCCACCTGAGTTGTTTCAAAAAGATTGTCTTTGGGATCAGAAATTCTTTCTTCTGCGTGCTGCTTAAGCTCTTCGTTGTATTTTTTATTTTATTGAATGAATCCTTCAGTTCCAGGAGTTCTCCTACATTCTATTCTATTCTATTATTTACTTATTTATTTATATTTTATTTTATTTTATTTATTATTATTATTATTTTTTGGCTGGGTGGTGCAGGGAACTAAACCCCAGGTGTTATAAGGCCATGCTCTAACTGAGTCTTCTGGCCAGCCCTGCTACAAGCTATTTTAAGGTATCAGTTTGTAAATTTCCTTCTTCATATCCTGGATAGTCTTTCTCAGTTCTTTGTGTCATATATCTGAGTCTTCTTGTATCTCATTGAGTTTCCTTGAGATTGTTGATCGAAATTCCTTTTGAGTCATTTGAAAGGTTTCCTGCTGTTTGGGGGTCTGGTGTTTGAGAATTGTTGTATTCCTTTGGTGGTGTCATATTTTCTTGTTTTTTCATATTTCTAATATCCCTACGTTGATGTCTGGTCATCTGGTGGAGGAGTTGCTTCTTCTGTTATCCTGCCATGGCTTTTGAGGAGAGAGACTCCCTTCTGTATTTTATATTGACTGTTGGGTAGGGTGTTTTAGTTTTGGTTCCAGGTAGACACAGTAGTGTGGTCTCTGTGTGGTTAGTTCAACCATATTCAACATTGTAGTTGTGTCTTAGTGCCTCCGTTCCCTAGGTGCTGGGACACCTTGTAGTTGGTTGTCAAAGTGAGTGACACTGTGTTGGGTTGTTGAGAATGTAGGCAAGATCTAGCATTCTTGAGAGAAGAGCCTGGGTGCCCTGTTGCTCCTTGGCCAAGGTGGGTGACCCTGGGCAGATTTGCTGGCACCCTGGCTAGTATTCCATGACCCCGATAGGTGCATTGGGGTGTACCGAAGCTCCTCAGCTTGAATGGGTGACCCTGGGTGGGGTTTCTCTTTCTGCTTTCCTGCAGGTAAAGGTGGGTGACCCTGGGCAGATTTGCTGGCACCCTGGCTAGTATTCCATGACCCCGATAGGTGCATTGGGGTGTACCAAAGCTCCTCAGCTTGAATGGGTGACCCTGGGTGGGGTTTCTCTTTCTGCTTTCCTGCAGGTAGAAGCTTCTCCTGGGACCTTGCTTCTCCCTCTTTCCTCCTGCCTAGTAAAACACAGGAACACCTGGGTCTGGGTGAGGCGGAACTGTTGACACCTGGGATAGGTGTTGGTGGGGAATGGGATGGACTGCTGTTTGGGGAGAAGGATGATCATGGTGGCAGTGCTCTGGGGCCAGGTGGTCATGATGGAGACAGCTGCAAGGTTGTGCTTTCCTCTACAGTTCCACATCTGGACTGCCAAGGGCAGAGCTGCTGAGCCACTTCTCAAGAAGTGGGTGAGGCCACTAGGCGGGGCTGCAGTGAAGTGGTCTGTTCAGCTTCCTCTGGGCAGTGTGCAGGGCCAATAGGCAGTCCTGCAGTGAAGGGCCTGGTGCAGCCACTTCTGGGACTGTTGGCTAGGCTGGTGGGTGGAACTCTTCAGGTTGGAGCCACCTGGCCACTTCTCTGGGAGGGGTGGATGCATTTTATTCCACAGGCCTGAGGGCATATTTGTTAGGGTAGAGACCCATGACCTGTTTTTCAGATTTGGGGGCTCAGGTGCACACAAATCAGTCAGCTGGTGGGGTTGCAGGTAGGGGGAGGATTTGGAGGTGGTCTGCCTGAGGAGGGTCTGCCTGTCTGATTTCTGGCGGGGGATGTGGTGGGTGTGTCAATTCAGCAGGACTAGAGTTGACTTGCCACACTGTAGAACAGAGTCACAGTGGCTGTGATCCCAGGCTTCAGGCTGCCAAGGTCAGGGCATTATTGCCTCTCCTGTGAATGTGTTGGATGGAGGGCAGAGCCTTAAGGCTGAGAAAGCACCATGACTACTGGTCCCAGGGCAGGGCGTGCTACTGCAAGATGGCACCTTCCCACATAGGCTTGGGTCCTGAAGGTGGGGGGTGGGGAGTGCACAGTTTGTGCCAGTGTTCTAGAGTGTTGCAGTGTGTATTTTCTAGGATGTTCCCCACACTTGGCTCTGGGCTTGTCGTGCTAAAGGATCTGTAGGCCTCTCTGGTGAGGATGGGGGTGGATGTGGGTACATTGCCTGCCTTTTCACCACAAGGGAAAATTCTTCCTGTGCCAGTCCCAGTGACAGCTGAGGCTGTGTGCCTGTCTCTCCTCTCTGTGCTACCATCTTGGGTGTTTGTGTTCCACAGCGATCTCACCTGTCTCCTGCTTCACTCTCCCGCTGATGCTCCTGTCAGTATTCAGCTGTCTATTCATTGTTCTGGTCCTTTTCTATGGGAGGAATGTGCCCTGGGCACCTCTAGTCTGCCATCTTGCCTCACCTTCCCTTGTTCTTGTTTTTATTGAGCACTTCCTTACTTTCTGGCACTACAAGATGCTTCAGGTTCATCCTGTATGCCACATCCTAGAACCAGCGATTTCTCTGAGAAGTACTTTTTTTGGAGAGTGACATTAGAAACCAAGATCTGGCTTTTGTGTGTGTCTCTACTCCCTACATCTTGTTCTTTTTTTGTTCTAGTTATCATTATTTTGGACTGCAGAGGCCACGTCAACAACAGCCTGTTCCAAACAGCGATGCTGTCTTGAATTGTCCTGCCTGCATGACCACACTGTGTCTTGATTGCCAAAGGTAATGGATGAAGGGTAAACACACATGCACAGAGAACCCATCACTAATCTTTACACAAATAAGTTTGGTTATACGTAGTTCTATCAAAAGTAGCTTTTCTAATAAAGCACTTGTCAGTGCTAATAATGATTCAGTGAAACTGTGTATACATGCATATTTTGTGAAATGACATAATCTCTTAAAGGAAAAATCATTTCTCAGTACTTCCTAACACTAGATGTGTGGATTTTTTTTGTTCTACTGCACCAAGCAGTTCTCCAATTCTCTGCAGACACCAGTTGGTTGTCCTACAATTTATTTTAATTCTGATTACATGGAATTAGTGTAGACCCCACAGGTTAAGCTCAGTTTCAGAGGCCATTTGCAAGTAGTATGTTCCCACATTACCTACACTTCAATCCAACGTGGCTGCAAATTGAATGTTACCATGTTATAAAGGATACAAATGAACAGCCAGGTGAAGAGGTACTTAGGGCAAGGTTTCGAAGGGTTTAGAGTGGAGGAAATTCTGTCCCTGTGGAGTTTTTGGGTGTGACATGTGGATCTGTTCACCAACCTGGAAGCTCTCTGAAATCCTTCCTTTAGGGTTTCTATGGAGGTTCCGTTACGTAGGCATGATTGGTTAAATCACTAGCCACTGGTGATTAACTCAATCTCCAGCTCCTCTCCTCTCCTCTGAGGCTGGGGATGTGGTGGGGTGGGATTTGAAAGTTCTAACCCTCTAATAAATGCCTTGGTCTTTTTGGTGACTAGTCCTCATCCTGAAGATGTCTAGGGACTGCAACCACCAGTCATATCATTAGCATACAAAAAGACAGTCTTGGAGATTCCTGGGGTCTTAGATGCTCTTGTGTTAGGAACCTGGGACTAAGACCAAAAGTTATCTTTATAACGAAAGGTGCTCCTGTCACTCAGGAAATCACAATTGTTTTAGGAGCTTGTGTCAGGAACTGGGAATAGATACCCAATGTATATTTCTTATTATGTCACATCTCTCAAATACACTGTTTTTTTTTTTTATTGTGGTAAAATGTACATAACATA